CGTAAAATCACGAAAATTCGCAAATTATTTTAAGCTAGAAATTCATATAAAAATTTCTTTTTAAATCCAAGATTAAAATATAACTAATATTAGACAGATAAACCGTCTCCGCTCAGAATCGTTTTTCTTATACAATGATATAATATTATTGGATTCAAATTTAATTCCATCCATTACAGTAACCCATTTGTACCTACTGTACAGCAAAGCGACATCCACGACTTACCCGCTTTTTCATTTTGAACTCGTTCAAAAATGATTAATATAAATTAACAATATTAATATAGATTCCTCACACGTCGTAAATTTTAACATTGGAATTAAAAATAATAAGTGAATTGTAAATATTATACAGTTATTAGTGATGCTTAAGAGAACACTATTGATAACCATTTGAAGTAAACATTTTGAAAAAATTCGTAAAAATCGCGAAWATTTGGAAAAATGTATGAAAATATAATACTACTATATACGTCTATGTGAATTATAAAAAAAATGTGTTATTTAAAAAATAAATTTATGAGTGTCTGAAGTTTAAATTTTAACAAAATTGGTTATTCTTGTGTGAAATATAGGTTTTAKWTGTTTCGTAATAATTTAAAAAATATTAAGAGATTTTAATTCAAATTTAACACACTTAAAGAATTAATGGAACACGTTGATTTATTCTTTACAGCAGAGTGGTTAATAGTCCAATTATTTTAAATACATTTATTACCCCATAMAATTATTATTACAGTAAAGATGTAATTTATAAATTAAAATTAAGTATTTTAAATTCTAGTGGATTATAATAATTGATAGTATGARAAATAACTTTTTTTTGAATAAATAAAGTTTTCTGCATTTCTATTGTCACTTTCTTAGCTACTTTAAATTCGAAAAGAACATTTTCCTTTCGACTCAACAAAAACTAATAATAGATAATTATTAGAATCATCGCAGTAATACTTTTATCATAATTTCTAATAAATAATAATACCACTACCACACGGAYGTCACTGAAGTTTAGTCTAACTCATTGTCGAAAATCAAAACATAAAATATATAATATTAGGATAAACAGATATTATACTGAAAAATAAAATGATAATTGCTTATTAATTTATTTTTTTTT